CTTTTGTAAGTGAGTCACCTTTTGGGCCAATAAAATACCCATACTTTTCCAGCTGGCGTTAGTTTTGATTTTGTTTTTTGGGACTACTTTTTTTTTTAATTTCTCATAGCTGTGAGTGGCACCAGAGAGTCTGGCAACCAAGACATTGCCTATGACTATAATCTACTTTTTTCGAGGAAATGATGGTAAGAATGGGAATCCTAGGTCTAGCCCCTTTTCCTGATTCTGCCAGTGTTCTCTTCTGTGCCTCTGCTTCCTTCTTTGTACTGTAAAGATAATATTTATTTTCCTCTTTTACACTAAGGGAATACAACTATTTGATCACAAAACAGTTGAAAAAGTGTTGAGCTGTTACTCAAAATACTGAATCATTACTTGCAGAGTCAGTTTATGGTCTCTAAGTTGTGGTCACATGTCCTGTCGTCTGCAGCTGGATCAGTGTAAAAGCTGAATGCCCCAGCTGTTCACTGCTAGTGGCATAATTGCTCTCTAGCCCTTTCTTCTCAGAATAATCAGAGTTAACTTGCACATGTTTAGCAGGAGGATTTTTCTAACCTGGCTTGTTTAGAGAGAACCTGGCTAGGGAGCGATTACACATGTAGTTACACTAGCAAATGGGTGGAGTAAAGTATTCTCCAGTGATGGAGCAGAGGAGAACAGCTGGCAAAGTTACCTCTTCACTCAACTCAGCTGGAACCAAACCAGAGCTGGAGATTTACTCACAGTTAAGCTGCAAAAGTAACTTCACCCAAATCAATAGAGCCACTAATCACATCTTTTTGAGTAGCAGGTGCAGAATCTGACCCAAAACAGCTACTGTTGTTGACACAATAATTTCTCGTCATGTAAAGACAGTTGCACTGGCTGTTCCCAACGAGAAAACCTATAGGCTCACTAACAGCTCCACACCAACAATAACTTAGTTCCTTGAGATAGGTACCAGATAAACAAGCCTAGAAACTGAAGCGCTCCGGGTGCCCATGAAGCAGACACAGTGCAGAAAGTTTCCCTATACAGTAAGGTTTTTTTGAGGATCACTTCTAAAGATGAGAGAACAACTCCTCCTCTAAAACATTAATCCTGTGAGCAATCTGATGAGACTGCTGACCAACTGTCACTCTCTGACATTTCAGAGATAGGTATCCATTCACCAGAAACTAGGTTTATTGCACAAAAGCCAGAGAAAGCTTGACAGGTCTTAATGCCTTTCAGCCGTTACTGGCAATGTTGTGACTGCGCCCAAATGTGGAAGGCGGTGTGTCACACTACCTCTGCCGGCTTCAGCCTTCCTTCGCTTCCTGTGCTCCATTAATGCATCCACTGAATGAAGCAATAAATACTGCATTTTTTCCTCTGCCTGCTGCTTTTTAATTTCTTATTTACAAACATTATTAGTCCAAACGAGGGTATTACAAATAATCCCACCCACCTTGCAGCACTAATATATAACTAGAAATGGGCACTGGTTTTCTCTTGTTTCTCAAGTGGAGCAAATGGTGAAGTCTCTCTCAAAAGTTACTGAGAAAAAGTATTTTCTTTTTTTGTGGGAAGAAGGGTTTCATTATGGATCTTGAACAGAAAAGAAAATATCTGGCAGAACTAAAATAATTGATTTTGGGTGGATAAATCTACCCTACAATTTCCTTTTATTTTCCCCTCCAGAAAAATTCCATTTAGGGAAAATGTTAAAATATTTTAACACTTCCATCATGATTCAGGGGAAATTCAGCACACATTGATGTCTCAGACCTTCCCAAGGCACGAAACTCCAATTTTGTACCATCTTTACAAGTCTTTTGCACTGCGGTTAATTGGTGAACACTGGAACTTGAACCAGGATCAAGTATTCTGGAATCTGTCACAACCATTCCTTTTCCCTGTTCTGGTACTTCTCTTAGTCCTTGCAGAAGAGACTTAGGGTACAGAGTCTGTATGTTCCAAGTAAGTTCTGTATTTCCGAGCAAATGTTCCCAAAGCTACTAACCTTCCTCCCCCCCCCGCCAAACAGTGATAGCCATCATTTTGTCAAGTTACAAGTTTAAAATATTATTTTTATTAGAGACAAACAAGCTAGTTTACTGGTTTATGCTTCTCTAACTACAGCATTATAGCAAATTTAAACCTTTTCCTAGATAGATATATTTGTGTATTTGATGTACAGTGATTATGTATAAATATATAGTAAATTTACCGGCATTGACTGGACTATGTTATAACTTAGACAGGTTTGCACAGCCAAGTTAAAAAGAACTATACTTCCAGACTGAGAGTCAGACGTTCCTGAATTCGCTGCATGACAGCCTACCAACAATCTCATAGCTCTGCGATATTCTGGATGATTTATTTCGGTACTTGATACTTTTGGTTCTCCTATAGGAGGCTCATGCCATTTCATTGGAAGCTTTTTGTGTGGAAAAGCTGAGTCTGAAAGCCTCAAACAATTCTGTGAATAGTTCCAATTCTATAATGACGAGCTACATGGAACAACACCTCTTGCTCAAAGGAGACATTACCTGTAGTTCTCATCTGTATGCACTTTTACTGTGCTAGTGTTACTGCACGTCTTTTCAAATTTCCCTGCATGCCCCTTTTCTCCTTTTTATCAGATAGTTGTAATAGCATTACTTTTTAAACAATACTTTTTTATTATCATAGATTTGATTAATTTTCCTAAGATTTCTCTTCATGTATGTTTTACTAAACAGTTTCCCTTACTGAGCTTCCTACCTTTAATGGAAACAAAATGCAATTTTTGCCCAGCGAGCTTGTGGAGTCTCCATCCTTGGAGCTATTCAAAAGCCATCTGGACATGGTCCTGGGCAACCAGCTCTAGGTGGCCCTGCTTGAGCAGGGGGGTTGGACAAGATGACCTCTGTTCCAGCCTCAACCAATCCATGATTCTTTGAAATTAGAGAGGTGAACTAACAGGCAGGCTCGACTACACCTATCGTAGGTCTTCATTCGCTCACTAACACAATCCACGGCCGAGCACTAACCAAGTCAACATGTGGCAAGACTGTAACAGCTGCCCTTAACTTTCATTGATAATTGTTCTCCTTTAACTGACATAATATTCAACATACTGTTGTTGAATGTAGTAATGGTAAAATTCATGCCTTGAGGGATACAATGTGATTGAGTTTTAGCCAGATAAACTGAACTCTGACCTAATGGTGTATTATAGGCCTTTACACCACTCAGATGCATAGGTCACAATCCCACTCTGTATGAACCTCTATATAATTATATTACAAGCCATTCTTGCATATATTAAGATCATTCCAACAGATCATTAAAACAAAATCAATACGAGCCTGATTCTATGAACTTTAAAACAAGAAAACTACTGATCTCAGTCAGTCTTTTTGTCTGTAAGGGACACTGAGTTATATTCTATGCTTGTAATACATTATGCCTAACTATTAATCACATTTAGTAAACAGCAATTTTCTAATGTTATATCTTAGAAAGGATGCGGTTTTTATGTGTATTCCTTTGCAAATCCTATTGCTTCAGCCCTCTTAATACAGTAGCATTTCAGAATCCAGGAATCTAAAATATGATGCAATATGCACATAATGCCATTACAGTATGTATCTCTATAGCTATCTATCATATATGTATCTAAATTATATATCATATCTAATATCTATAGATACATATCCATACATATATATCATACAAACATCCATAGATATCTACTGTATAAATGTCATGGATATATACTTACATGTAAGTTTTAGACTGGGAATGGATAAATGGGTTCTATTGTATTTGAACATGTGTAACATTTAGCTTTTACAAAATACATGCCTGAGAGAATCCTAAAACAATTAAAGAGCTCCATTCTATATATATCCTAATAAGAATAACAGGATCTCATTATTAAAGTAATAGCCTTTTTGTTACTCTTTCTCCAAGACTTTTCTACAATTCACAACACTTTTCTGCAAAAATCTGTGTATAGAGCAATTAAGAAAATATTTAAGAACACAGAATATTAAGATTTCCATAGAATTATGTAAGGCTAATTTACTTCTTTCACACACAGGACAGAAAATTGAAGAGGAATTAAAAAATACAGTCAGAATTCCTCAGAGCAGGAATAAAGATTCCCACATTTTCTGTGTAGTGCCAAGCTCACTATCATTGCCTAAGAAAGTAAATAAGTAAATCGGAAACTAGAATTTTCAAAGTTTTTTGGGCATGTCCATTTAAATAACTGGATGACTTCTAGATGATGCAGAACTCTCACAAAGTCAGTAGCAATTATTAGAACTCACGAGCATGTTGTATTAGATTCTCAATCAGAAATAGTCTTATAAAATGTAATAATTCACTTTGGAACCCAAAAGATGATTAAATTCTTCAGACAAGCAACCATACATATTCACGACCATACTCATAAAGCAAGTCTGTCCATTTTTTTGTTCACTTATTTTATGTTTTGTTTGCTTATCTTAACTAATCTGCATGTAACACTTTATTTAAAGCTACCTTTTTAAAATAGACTTATAAACAGGATTTTCCTGTTTATACATTACACTCTAAGGATACTTCCCAACATAACCATGATCATAACCCCCATTTCATCTAGCCCTTATTAGATATCTTGCTAAAGAAGGAAAGAAAAGATGAAGGAGCTGCTGACTTGGATCTTAGTTTCTTAAGTCAAACAGTAGCCCTTGAAAACTTGCCAGTTGCCTTTGATGACTGAATCAGGCTTGCAGCTAGCTAACCTCAGTATTTGCAGTATTTAAGGTATTTCCTACAATAAGCGTAAGCAAGTACAAATAAATACTATGGTACGAAGGAACCTGCATTTTTTTAGCTTAGGAAAAATTGAATATTTTATTTTGCCAACATCATCATTAGTCTTCAACATGCCACACTAAATTTACTTCATATCCTTCTACCTCTTTGGGTGCATGGTCACTACATCTGTACAAAAAAACCTTCAGTTAACAGGGTTTGGAAACATGCTTTGCTTTATTTCCTACCTGAAGGATGTAGCCTCGAACATAGTCTCGAAGTGTCCAGCCTAAGCCGTGTAGAATATGCAACACCTCCTCTTGCTTCAGTACACTGAAGAGTCGGTCAAGTAATATCTTCAGTCTCACAGGCACAGCCTGAGTACCGTAGAGCATCAGGCTGCTGATGTCAAACACAACATTGGACTGCACAATCTCCACTTGGGTTGGGTGGTAGAGGTGCTGAGTACTAAGTTTGTCCAAGGCTGAAAGAAAGGGGGTTAAATATAAGAGAAGAGCTAAAGGAAAGACAAGAAAATAATCCTCAAAAAATATCTAAACACATCGAATTTTGCACTTATTTTCCAGAGAAATATCACCTGGATGATTCACAGAATCATAGAATCACAGAATGGTTTGGGTTGGAAGGGACCTTTAAAGGTCATCTAGTCCAACCCCCCTGCAATGAGCAGGGACATCTTCAACTAGATCAGGTTGCTCAGAGCCCCGTCCAACCTGACCTGGAATGTTTCCACGGATGGGGCATCCACCACCTCTCTGGGCAGCCTGTTCCAGTGTTTCACCACCCTCAGCATAAAAAATTTCTTCCTTATATCCAGTCTAAATCTATCCTCTTTTAGTTTAAAATCATTACGCCTTGTCCTATTGCTACAGGCCCTACTAAAAAGTTTGTCCCCATCTTTCTTATAAGCCCCCTTTAAGTATTGAAAGGCTGCAATAAGGTCTCCCCAGAGCTTTGTCTTATCCAGGCTGAACAATGCCAACTCTCTCAGCCTGTCCTCACAGGAGAGGTGTTCCAGCCCTCTACTCATTTTTGTGGCCCTCTTCTGGACCCGCTCCAACAGGTCCATGTCTTTCCTGTACTAAGGACTCCAGAGCTGGATGCATTACTCCAGGAGGGGTCTCACCAGAGCAGAGTAGAGGGGCAGAATCACCTCCCTCGACCTGCTGGCCACGTTTCTTTTGATGCAGCCCAGGATACGATTGGCCTTCTGGGCTATGAGCACACATTGCTGGCTCATGTCCAGCTTTTCATCCACCAGTACCCCCAAGTCCTTCTCAGCAGGGCTGCTCTCAATCCCTTCATCCCCCAGCCTGCACTGATACTGAGGGTTGCCCCAAGCCAGGTGCAGGACCTTGCACTTGGCCTTGTTGAACCTCATGACATTCGCACGGGCCCACTTCTCGAGCTTGTCCAGGTCCCTCTGGATGGCATCCCGTCCCTCAGCTGTGTCAACTGCACCACTCAGCTTGGTGTCATCTGCAAACTTGCTGAGGGTGCACTCGATCCCACTGTCTATTGCACTGATGAAGATACTAAATCGTACTGGTCCCAGTGCAGACCCCTGAGTGACACTGCTCATCACTTAGTGATTCTTTTTCACAGATGCAGTCCAAAACAGGCCTAGTTTCCAAAGGTCACAATTAACTAATTCCTACAGCAGAAGGGTGCTCAGCTGAGCCCCAGAGACTACAATACTCATAAGTTCAAAAGAAATGACAGAAAATTTGTGATTAACTGATGACCAAGACTGAAGCTATGCAGAATTGATAGGGGCTGTTAAAGGTTTGAGACTTAACCTCTAGGGGAGAAAAATAGAACAGATACACCCTAAACCCCAGCCTTTTAAACATGTTAAAAATTAGTCCCCTGATTTACAAAAAATTCTATCATGAATTCACTGCTACTTGAGCAGGCTAGTTTGCTTTACCCTTCTGTGTGAATTTCATGTTATTCACTGTGACGTGAATAATTTAGAGATGAGGGGAGGGGAGGTTTGCAGGATGAAGGTAATTCTTATCCCCTTGTGAAGTTAAATATGATGGAATTGCATATGACATCATGCACTTTACTGAGTATCAATGTTTAAATTTAATTTTCTTTCCATTTTATGGACTACGTTGCAGCACCTAGGCTTCTCACCGCTTTTTTTTAAACAAAACCTTCTGAGCATTTAAAATAATTTTATAGGGACTTCTCCTGTACTTTGGTTTCTTCTTGGCTTATGGTCACTGGAGAGTTCATGTACTCTTGATAAATTGCTTTCTTACATCCAGAGCGCAAAGGCCCTTATCATTTACTCGCTGGCTTCATTCAACACGTTTACTCCAAGGAATACTTTGTCAAAGACTTCTGGTTTCCTCATACTTAATTTCTTGCAACTGATTTGTCTGATCTGTCCTATTCTAGTGGTTAAGTCAACTTTGAATAAATAGCTTTAAATATTAATTTAACATTCAAAAAAGATAAGGAATTGGCAAGCCTAGGGACTGCAGTCCTATGTCTCTCCACAGGACATTTATACTGCAGAATGTGAAGGGTGGGATTTTTCTTCCAAAAGCTCTTCTTCCAAAGTACTTCAGCTATATAGGTTTCATGATGTGGGACTGATTTATTTACAAGGTCTAATGAATGGGATTTGATTGACGCTTAAACAGTTCAAATACTTTCCTTTTTTTTTTTTTTCCCCCTTTTATGTATGATATTTTTGTAACATGGTTATTTTGCTACTACTGTAACAGATGTGTCATCAAAGTACTCAGTAAGAAAAGCCTAGAAAATTGATTTTTGTTACTGTGGAGGCTGTGCTGTATGTGTACCTGAGGGGCAGAGCAATCATTTGGAAGCAGTAAAATAAAATAAAATATTAATTTTTTTTTACAAACAGTACTATTGCAATAAGAATGCTGTAAATTAATATTAGTGTTAATAGATGCAACACCTTCTATCAGACTATCAAAATAATTAAGCAGATCTGGATCACCTTGAGCTTTCCACCTTCAGTCTTACAGAATGAGAATAGGATCCAAAGAGGTTAACTGGCTTCTCCAAGTTTACACAAATGCAGACCAGAGTCAAGACCTGAATTAGTATTTTCTGAATACTCAATGCTTTTTAATCACTGCATCATACTGTATTTCTGATATATCTTAATATTTGTTTTTGTTTCTCTTTACTTAACAGTAAACCCTACGCCTGCAGTGAGGAAAAGCAAGTTCTTCCAGCTAAAGAAGACTTGGCTTGCTGAAGATTTTAAGGTCATGATTCTACTTTGGCCCAAGTCAGAATTACCGTGAGATGTCTTTATCTAAAGACTGTTGGGTGGATTATAAAACTAATAGCTAGAATGAGATTACAAAACCCTGTGGACATTTACTCACTTCATGTGATGTGACCACTTTGAGGATAATAGCTTTGGAAAGGCCAAGATGGAATAGAAGTGAAAAAAGAAATAAAAAAAGTCCTTTCAAATTACTAAGCACACTACTTGACCAGCAGATAGAAATTTTCACAAGATACCCTGTACTATTCTATTTATCTGCAACATTTGTTTTCAAGCAATATTATCTATAGACATCCACTTCTCAAAACACACACACAAATAAGATTTAGTCCAGTGTTGGATTAACATTCCAAGTGACAGTGAAATTATCTCCAATTTTGATTTGTGGCCTTATTTTGCACATAATGTAATAAACAAATAAGCAGTGAAATTTATCCTTTTGAAGTACAAGTCAGCATATGCACTGAAATGTGTAATTTATAACACAACAAAGCATATATTTTTGCAGGGGTATGTAAGAGCATTTGCAAACTAAAGACTGACCTCATGCTACAGACAAAAAAAAAAAAAAAAAGAAAAAGCTGTACATGAAGGGAAAGGAAATGCACTTGCACCCATATAAGAAATAATATGGTAAGCATCTGAAATTCTTTCAGATCATTGACTATTGAAAGCACTCGGCAGGAGAATGAAACTTTTCACTATAATCTGTAATTTATAAAAATTATCTTGTTTCTTTAAAAGAGATTGCTAAGGAAATAGTTGACAGAGAGAAGTTGCTTTCTGTAGTACTTCTAACTGATTTCTCCTCTGGTATCATTAATGAACTAATGCCGGTGTTGTAGGTGGATTCAAGAGGCCATTTATGTAGTTAGACACGTACTTTTTCAAATAAGCGATAAGAGAAGGACCTAAGTCTCATTGTTGGTTTTTCTGTAAGGACAAGAGTATTAACTTTAGCCTTGCCAAATCTCAGAGTAGATATTTGTATTCCGCTGTCCTGAATTGCCCATCTAATTTCATGTGGATAATGCATTCCTCACCGTTTGCTATTCTAAAGTATTGGTTCAATTTCTGTATGCTAATGAACAATGCCTGTTTCACAGGTGAATACAGTCAACAGTATCTGCAGCAGTGTATGATTTCATAAGTGCTTAGGAGACTTCAAGATGAAACATGCTATATAAAAGAATGAGCTTTATCATACCTGAAAACTGACATAAACAGATGTGTACTTATTAAGAAGATATCAGTGACTGAACATCATAACACATTAAAAGTCCCTTTCTGGTGCAGCATGAGGTATAACTCATAGTTCTTACACTTTCAGTGGGCTAAAAAGTTTACCCAGAAACGTCTTAGTAAGTTTGTGACTTTTTGGTCGTAACCTGCACAATCTTTTCCGAAAACATGACTACAATGGGTTCAGCTAGGTGCTTAAATTAAGAAGGCTACCTTTTAACAGCCCAGTTCAATTCTTAGCACTGCCCTGATAGTCTGATACTCTTTACCTCGGAGTGAGTGGAAAGCTGTTCACTGATAGAGGAAGAAGAGATCTAATGAATCTTAAAATCACATACTTGCTGAGTAATCAAAATTTTTGTGTAACAGCCTAAAAAACGCCCTTGTGTTTTACTATACCAACATACAGCCGAGTAATATTTCCATGGTGAATTCTAAATTTCAAGTACTTGTCTCAGAAATTTTAACTGTTAAAAAAGGGGGGCAAAAAAGAATGATAAAGAAGTAGAAGACATTACAGAAGATTGCTTTCAACACCCAAAAATGACTCATTGGATAATTAGTACAGGAGTTAGGAACATTTCAGTACTGTTTTTCTTACCTAACTCTGAAGTATCAAGTATGCACCATAATAATTTAGATAATTTAGAATATTTCAGTTGGAAGGGATCTACAACAATCACCTAGTCCAACTGCCTGACCACTTCAGGGCTGACCAACAGTTAAAGCATATTATTAAGGGCATTGTCCAAATGCCTCTTAAACACTGGCAGGCTTGGGGCATCGACCACCTCTCTTGGAAGCCTGTTCCAGTGTCTGACCATCCTCTCGGTAAAGAAACGCTTCCTAATGTTAAGCCTGAACCTCCCCATGTTGGCTTATCCACCCTTTACCTTCTTGAATAGAAAACAAAATCCCCCAGATTTTACAGAGAGTCT